TCCTTCTAACATGTAGGGTCTCAGGGATTGGATTCAGGTTGTCAGGCTTGGTAGCAGTCACCTTTATCCACTGAATCATCTCTCTGACCCTGGATTAATTGCTAAAGGGGGGGGGGCAATGGTATACCCCTGTTCTTTACAATTCTCAACCTAGACAGTTATTTATAAGGTTCAGGTTGTTCCCTATTTTCTGGGCAGTTCAGGATGTCACAGCTCCACTTAGGGTCAGAGCTATGACTCAGATCTCATTAATTTTACCAGTAACCAGAATCCTAAGAGTTTTGGTTGTTGGTTTTACATGCTGCTGTCTATGAGGGAGGGCCCACCTAAATGATCTCCAATCTTGTTAATATCTATCTAGTTATCCAGCAAATATGGTAACGATTGATGTTTTCAAACCTGGGTCTTGCACATGCTAAGCAAACAGCCTACTAATGAGCTACATCACTGGCCCTGTCAGTTTTCTTTGATGTATTTCCCTGTATTTTTCAATTAGCAATCATGGTGCATCTTGAGGGGTGCAGCATGGTAGCTCAGCACAGGCATGGACTGCATAATCATAATGAGTTCAGGCATTAAGAACATCCCAACCTGTGGTCACACCGATGATCCTAGTGAAAATCAGTGTGTCACAAAGGGAGGAGGGGCAGATGACAGGGGTGGGAAGGAAACAAGCGAGGGGGAGGGGTGAGACCATAAACAGAATGCACTATATACACGTAAGAAATTGTCAAAGAAAAATTTTAGTCAAAAGTGTTCTCTCTTTGTGGGCAACTAGGTACACTCCCTGCTCCCAGATAAAAAGAAATTTCTCTTCTCGGGCTGTGTTAACTTCCTGTTTGTCACTGGACACTTGTGTCTCCTCTCTGGGCAGTCACTCCCTTGGGACTACTCACTGTGTAATATGTCAGGAATGGCACATGGGCAGGAAGCCTGGGGAAACCATCATCTTTCACAAAAAATATTTTCTTGAGATTTAAAGAATTGAAAAACATCTTGGTGACGAGGTAAGATCAGATGTCATTTTGCTACAATCCCATCTGTGAATGGGAGGTTACCAGTCTGCAATCTCCTGCTACCTGTTATCCTGTATAATTATTCCTGAATCAGCACCGTAGGTCCTTTAGGATGACGCTCTGCATTTTTCTGATCCACTAGCCAAGTTCGTTCTCTTCCACTGCCCTGCATATAACTTCTGGTGTGAAGCAGGCAAACTGAGCCTTCGCAGGTATCAGATCAGGACATTCCCATTTCCTTCTCCTTAATCATTTACCCTTTCTCTGTGTTGGTTTCTTTCAAGCAACCCTCCCTAAGTTTCATGGGATGTAGAGTAAGTTGTGACCTCCAGCTACCCTCCTGTGAGTGCCTAGAGCACACAATCTTACTCCGTCTAACTCCACTGTGGCTCCTTGCACTGTGCCCCTTCCCAGCCTCTGTGAGCCATGACTCTACCCCTGAAATCAACTACTCCAGCTCCCACACAAAAGGGAAGCAGTTGGCATTTGTTTCTATGTCTGGCTTATCTCATTATCTGTTTACTCCAAAAAAATGGAATCCTTCAGGAATTTGTGTGTCATCTTTGTTCAGGGACTATGCTAACTACAGCATCAGTCCAATATTCTATGTGATGCTAAAGCTTTCAGTGTGTTAGGGTTTAACTTGTGTTGGAAAATATGGTAGCTTTTGTGTGTTGGGAGATCCAAGAGAGAAAATAGGTTTAATTATTGAAAAATAAAGTTAACAACTGCAGCATGAAGTTCTTAGAGAAGTTTTAAGTCACTTATCATAGCAAGGGTCTTGGGTCCAGAAAACAGTGGACTCTGGACCAAAAGAAACACATGTAAGGCTTATTTATTAGAACATCCGCCTGAGCCAGATCAATATGTAGCTCTGACCTGTATCCCCAAGTCAGAACAGTGGCTGACCCTAGAGGTGCCTTATATACCCCAAATCCCCACTAACAGGTTATCTCATGTGTTCAGGCTTAGGGGAATGTCCAGTCCCAATTGGTCAATGTGTGGGCTCTGCTGTAGGCAGCTGTAGGTCAACCCTGACAACTAAGCTGATCTCCAGCAGGCTGACCTCATCCCATTCTAGGTGAGTAGGGCTGCTGTTTTAACTGCAGGGCTGCATAGGAGTCCTGGGTCCATATACGGATTTAGTGATGATGGCACAAAGCAGGTATGATCCTTGCAGGCCCCTCTCCAGCATCTGAGCACTCTATCCTGCTAGGTGATGGTTCTCAACTGCCTTGTCAACTGCTACTGGCTCTCCCTGTATCCCCAACTGGGCTGTGGATGCTCCAGGAAGAATGTCTCCCCCTAAGTTTCCCAGAGCCCCATGGATCTCCCTACTGGGTTTTTGCTAATGGGAGTAAAAGCAGCTGGACATCATCCTCTAATCTCTTCACCGTCATCTTAAATATATAACCACAACACAAGTTCCTGTTTTAATCCCTTTTGTTATTTTTCCTCCACCCCTGGGAAGATAACGAAGTCAGTAAGGACAGGAGAAGGTGTCACCTTTCCCAGAGGCATTGATTTCTGCTTTACCTTGACTTTTCTGATCAGTGTCTCAGCGGAAAACTCATTCTTCAAGTTAAGGATGATTTATTTCTCTAGCTTCTTACAGCTTAGTTAGGACAGAAGCTGGGGAGTTTATGGAGTGTCACTCCATGGTAACTTTCTCTAAGCTACACAGGGAGTTGTTTTCATTGGGTTATGGAAATAGGAGGGGCTGGCTTCTTACAACAGAGGAAGAGGTGCACTCGACTGCCACATATAGTGCACACCAATGGCAGTGCTCTGAGGAGTTAGGGGACTGGAAGGGTCTGCTTTCCCTATAAATTACAAAGCACAACATCTCACAATATTCCATGTTCAGTCACTCTTTGCTTAATGATGGAGCTAAGTTCTGAGAAACACATCATTAGGCAATTTTTTCATTTTGTGAATATCACAGACTGTACTTATATAAACCTAGAAAGTACAACCCACTACACAATGGATATATGATACATATAGTTACACACCTGGTCTTTCAGTTTATTGAAATGTCATTGTGAGGGTTATTATAGTTATCCTGCAACAATTTGTCCTTGGTTTGCAAGGTTGTGGGTTTGCTAGGGTTGAGTTATTAGGGCAGTAGCTCAGGAAGGGGCTGTATGAAAACCTGCATCATAGGTCTGAGCACACCTTTTGAAGTCAGACAAGGACTGTAAGCCTCCATGCCATTTCCTGGCTGTGTGACAGCAGGCTGATGATGGCTTAGTCTCTCTGACCCTACCTTTTCTGGGGCTGACAGAATGCCTGCCTTGAAGGGTGGTTTTGTGAAAACTATAAGCATGCCATTTGGCACACAGTGTTCTTGCTAGATTGTATTTATGATGGGGTAAGCAACTTTTTTCTGTAAAGAACCATATAATAGTGTTTTAATTTGGGTTGCTTCTAAGATCTCCTTAAGTACTCAACTCAGCTAGAGATGTGAAAGTGAACAGGGGCCAGGAGAGCCAGTCCAGGGAAGGTGCCCTGTCACCCCATGCACTGGGAGAGCCAGTCCAGGGAAGGTGCCCTGTCACCCCTTGCACTGCGATTCTTGGCACAGCACTCCCCAGCACTCAGCTTGGTCAGCTGGTGTGTATTTAGTAGTAGTTCTGTTTGTGAATTAATTACAGGTTTTCAAATGATATCAGAAAACCCAACCTGGATTTTTTATTCCCTCTTCCCTGGCCCAAGTTGATCTTCACTCCCTTCTCCTCATCAAAGTAAAAAGAAGAAAGAAAGAAAAAAAAAAAAGGGCCTGTAAGCACCTAGCCTCTGCACACCCTAGCTCAGCAGCACAGCATACTGTGGGCCCTTACCCTGGGTTGACTGTAGTAGGGACTAAGCTGTGGTTGCTGGCCTGCCCAGTATCATGAGAGGGGACTGGACTGCACAGCTCTAGCTCAGGAAAAGAACCTAAATTTTACCTCAAAGTACAGTTCCTAAACAGTAAATTGAACCATAAGTCAAACCACTGTCAGGTTCAGGAGGTCTCCACATCCTCCTTTATCTCTGATCTGTCTAACCTAATTCTTTTCTTTCCCAATTCCTCTAGCAATGCTGTGATCTCAAAGCACAGTCTCCTTTGTGTGCCCTCTGAACTAGTTCACCAGCTGCCCTCTGGGCATGGAGAAGCAACCTTCTAGTGTCTGCCCTACCCTAGCCCTTCTCAGCAAGGCTGCAGAGCCAAGTCATTTTAATTAGCTGGAAGAAAGCCATCATCTTGTGAGGGAAGACAAATGGCCAGTGGTGCGAGGAGTGGGGTCCTCTCCAAGTCAGCACAGCTGCCCCGGATGACTGATGCTTCCTGGATCCCCCAGCTGCCCACAGCTGTCCTCACATCCAAACCTGATGCCTTCTCTGATTTGAGTACTCTTTGACATTCTAGCCAGAAGGCTACAAATGACCCAGAACGATTTTTCAGGACCTAATCAACTGATTTTCCATTTCTACGGCAGGTATGAGAACACCAAGGCTAGTCTGAGTTGTGCAGGTGAACGGCACAGCTGTCTCTGGCTTTCTTCTAATCATGTTTGCATTTTCTGTGACAAAGACTATGAAGCTGAGAAGAGCAATTCATCAGAATGCAGGGCTATTAAAACAATATCAAGATGTGCTAGCCTAAAAAAGTGTTTTCCACTTGATTTTTGCCACTGGCATTTTCCTGCATGTGACAATTAACCCCAGGAAGAAAATGTGACCAGCCTCCAGTTACTGGTCAGGGTGCATCCCAATGCACAGTCTGCAGATATGATCACTGCTGCTGCTGCTCAGCCTTCCAGTCAATTCTGCCCTAGTGCCTTTTTTGTTTCTACGACTGGCTTGCTGTGTGGTCACTCATTTGCAAGTGCAATTTCTTCAGATCAAAACAGAGAACCACCATCTAGATAAATGAAAACATGTTTTATTTATGTCTGTACACTGTGTACACATAAAAATATACAAAACCAAAATAGAAAATATCCAAATGTTAAAATGTGTACAAACACTTTTAAAATGTACTTCTTGGAAAACCTCAAGCCTTAATTAGTTTGAAGAGTACACATTTCATTTTAAAAATTATCATACAAAAAAATTCCCAAAGTTATCAAAAAAGTTCACTGGTTTCCACGGGAAAGATTTCATAGGTATTTTATCTAGCATGGACAGGATGTGTCTTATTCAGCGCTAACATTGAATTTTATTTGTGTGAAATCTGTCTGGTTAGAGAACGGTGTCCCAGAGACTCAGGAAAAGTTTCTTCTCCTAATCTTGTAAACCATAAGCAAACAACAAACTTCTCTTCAAAGTTCAGAGTTAAATCAGGCTTCTGACTAGACACAATATTAAGGTAATGGTTCTACCTTTATGGTATCATTAAAAAATTTTGGTCATAATTTTTTTAACGTGGCCAAGATGTGTAAGATGCAATGTTTATGTGTGGTGAGGGAGAGGATTGATTTATTTTTAGCAGAAGGACATAGAATATTTGTTTCCTTCTCTTTAAAAAATTAGTGTTTTCATAATTAAAATAAAATTTATTGTAAAGATTTCATCATAAAGATTAATGAAAAAGACAATATAAAACCAACCATGTGTGTAGATAAGTATATATACACAATTATATAACTATCTACATGCACACTTCTATACTAAGAGTTCAATCAATAGCTGCAATTCTTCAAATTTCACTACCTTACACTTGCAGAGAATATGCTGGGATATTTTTCCTTACTAAAGCTTCATTCATTTAACAAAACAAGAATCAGAACTATCACTTCATTTTCTTCAGCCGTCAGGAAAATACCATTCATTTACCAGGTGTCTAAATAATGTCTGAGTGACAGAAATATGTGGAATCATTTCACAGTGGAAATATCCAGATAGATATAAAAAAGCATGTTTAAACTCAGGTACATTTCACCTAAACAATTAGTTTTTAAACAGAGCTGCCTTGATCAGTCATGTATCCACTGGACAAGCATTCTGAACTATTAGAAAGTCAGAGACTAAGTAGCACAGTATGAGGGGACAAATCTGGAGACTATGTCCCACATATTCAATCACACATCTGTTGGTAATCCCCGCAGCCTCAATCCACTTTCTCTCTCTTCCTATAGCTAAAACAAAAATTGGACCGTGTAACTTTGATCATATGCATGGAGTATTATAAAAAAAAAAACTTGGTGAAAATCAATCACTTCACTGGTACACAGTTTTCCATCATAACATTACTAACTGAAGGTTGATCCCAGTTAATGCACCAAACAAGCATCTGATTAATCAGTAGATGTGAGTGTTCCTTACACTGGAGATGGGTCGGCCTGTAACATAAACTGTAATCTACTCCAGCACAATGAACTGGTTCACAAACATACCACAGAATGAGCTAGGGCCTTTGACATCCCAATTTTGAAAACACGATTATCATAGCATTTCTTCTGCTCAGATGTTATGGCTTCAATGACAGAGGACTACCAGAGTCCAGCACTGACTGGCTAAGGAACCAAAGGGACGGGACACACACAAAGAGCCATTTCTGAAGCAGAGCATTTTGAGCTTGGTGTCCAGGCAGACAAAGACACAGCAATTCAAGAATCTTTTCGAGCCTCTGCCTTGCCCATTAAAGCACATCTTGCATGCTCACATGTAGCTTTTATCTGACCACTGTTTGTCCTTCCACAGAAGCAGCTCTGTAAGGATTTGGTGGGTGTGGTCTGCAACATGGCCCAGCACTGTTACGCATGGGAGCTGCCTGTGCTTGAGTGTCCTCATTGCCTTCTATCTCCTACCCCATATGGAAAGCTGGAAACAGAAGTTAGGGAGAATCTAGAAGCAAATGAACTGTCAACTTGGTTAACACTATTTTCTTCATGATTGCAACCACAATAAAAGATAGCACAATAATTTCTTGAAATGCAAAGGAATGTGGCATCTTTAGTCCTGAGAGTAGGACAAGGAGCACCTGATGTACCCCAGGGGCACCATGAGGCCCTAACCAGAATCCCCTCACAGAAGAGGCTAGGCAATTCTGGAAGGGACAGAGCCAGGAAGAAATGAGGTGGGAGGGCAGTTACTGTTTATATTCCACAGACATTGTGGGTTTACTGGTGTTCATAGCCTGGAAGGATTTAATCAATGTCAGGCAAAATACTGCCACTTAGGACCCATCCAGCTAATGTGAGAAGCAGCCTTCACGTTAGACATTACTGTATGACATTTGCGAGAGGCTAAGCTACTTAAACTTTTAAATGCAAGAATGCCTAGACAAAAGTATATTAATATGTGTATCACATTTTCTGGATGTTTAACAGAATCTGACTCCCAAGAGTCTTTAGGGCCATAATAAATTCAAAAAAATTAATTGCATTTCCTTTATGCTCTGCAGTCTTTCTTGTAACCCCTGTAAAACTGAAAGTATCCTTTTAAAAGTACATGTGCTACAACAGAATGCTATTTAAGAGTCTTTGAAGTGTTCTGTGGGGCTTTTGAACTTGAATATTCACATTGACCTCAATAAATTATTCTCTAACCAAATTCTCATTGCTACCAAAGGAGATTGTCTGGATAATAAGGATGCCTCTACGTGAATCTACTTGGAAGACTATAAAAGGAAATTTAATAGTTGTGAGCATTTAAGATGGAAAAGCATGGAAGATCTAGAAAGATCCAAGAATTCCAGGAGCAAATACTCACCACATCAGTTTCCTCACTGTGCCCTGGAGTTATGGAAATTATTACACACATCAAGACCAAGCTCTTCTGGGAAATGACAAAGGAACTTGGCTGCACCGTGCTACTAGGACAAGCTAATGCACAGGATGAAGGTTTCTATCCCTTGTTAGTGACTTGGTAACAAAGCTCTCAGAATGGACTTTTATGAGACACTGTCAGAACCGAAATCCTAACTCCTTTTATTTACTGCTGCACTAAGTACCCTGATGTCTAAGATTCAGCTTGATATCTGATGAGCAGAATAGCCGAACAGAAGCTATTGGTCTCTGAAAACCATACTTGCTCAGGAAAGCAGTCCTGAGAGCATTCTGGAACCAACTAATCCTGAAACAAACAAACATATTTTCCATAAAACTCTCCTGTTAGTCACACACTTTGCAAGGGGGATTGTATTTAATTAAACTGCTATTGTCATTGCCAAAAAGTCTTAGTTACCATACCACTGAGCTATGTCTAATTTGATATTGAAATAAATGTTTCTCATGTATTATCTTTGAAGTAAAACAAAATAAACCCAAAAAAAGAGTTTCTCATAATGATAGAAACTGAGATCTAAAAATCTAATATAGCTAACACACTGGGGTGAATGTTTCCACTTGCCTTTCCACATGAACATGTATTTATTTACCTTGTTAAAAATATATGCTTTCACATAATTTTATTCAGTTCTGTGTCTTTGCCACACCGTTGACGTAAAACACATGAATGAAAACAGGGTGGCATTCAAGTTACACGTCAGTAGGATTAGTGAACATTAGGAGCACACCACTGTCAAATTTCTAATAGCTGAAAAGCCTGTAAGAAATTCCTATAAAAGTACTAGGTGTGCATCCCCTGCAGCTCAGAGGGGACTCCCAGCAATTTTTTCTACTTTGGCAGAAACAAGGGTGTCTCCTGGCTTTCCCTAAGAGCTGTCACTGGCTATATAACAGCTGCAAGGTGCCTCTGCAGACCAGGTACCACAAGGCAGAAGAGCCAGGGCTGGAGAATGTCTGGGGTCCCAGCCAGGATCCTGCATGTACTAGCCCATGATGTTGTCTGAGTGGGTTAAGCACTCCTGGCCAGCCTACTAAATATTGAAGGAAAACAAAAGATCTTGTCTATGCTTTTCCCAGGGCTTTTGTTTGGCTTTATCTTGGCCAACTCAGGATGGATAAGCTATGCTTTTATAAATGTGTCCTGATTCACAGAATCAGGAATTCCAGAGGGCAACTGGGAGGCAGAGATGGGATACAGTGGTTGCAAAATCATGTGCTTGGCAGGATATACAAGAAATTTTTGACATTAAAATAAGCATCTGCATGACAATTCAGACATTCATCATAGAATATAGCCTGCCTAGTGAGGAGTGCATGTACACGTGACACACTAGCTCTGGGGCCCTAACTTGGATGTTCTGAGATGGAAACCATACTAGCAGTAACATCACTGAAACCTGTGGCTGGAACCAATTCTGATAAAGAGTATCCCTGCGATAAGGCAAGATTAGCATGTTTAGGGGTATCATGCCCATGGTCACACATTTATTTTCTTTCTATATATCCCTTGTTTTGGATTCTTTCTTGGGTGTTTCTAAAGTTCCATTTCTATATTTAAAGCAGTAATAGATACCCAATGGCTTAGAATGAAAAGGATTCTCCATGGCCACCACTAAGTTACAGTTGAAAGACTCAACGCTACATTGCCTAAACCTATCTTCAAGTATTTTTTTGTGACTTTGAGGACAACAGCAGTACCTTATTGCACATTGATTCCCAAGAGTCCCTTTTTAAGAGTGTGTACTGTTAGGGCTGGCTGTGGGGCAGCGCACAGCCCGGAAGCCTGGCAGGACCACCTTGCCCTTGCGATGCAAATCTGCCTGGGTGCCCATGTTCAGGCGCTGCACCAGAAGCTTCTCGTAAAGCAGCGGGTGGTAAGCCCCCAGAGTGCAGGCTGCGTCGTAGTACAGCTCATGGTAGTGACAAAGCTCTGTCTGCCGGACAGATGGGATGTATTCATATACATGCACCTCTCTGCACATGGACATCATGATGAGGATTCCTGAAGGAAAGGAGAATACAGTGAGTAACTCCAAGAAAGAGGGTTTTGTTGGGGTGTGGGGGACGGTTGGAGTGGTGGTGACTGACAGGGATGACTGTAGCAAGAGGCTTCCTTTTCATTTGCAATGTTACAACTTCTGCTAAGTGGAGTACACGTAGTTAATGGGGAGATATATATAAAAATATGTAGACTGTATATACATATATGTAGTATATATATGTGTGTATATATATATACATACATATATACTACTATATGTATTCATTCACTTGTTAAGTTGATTACTATAGACCTAAAAACTGAGATGCAAACACGAAACCACTGACCATAAGAGACCTTTCTCCAGTGTGTGAATTTGAATTTACAACCTTAGTTTAGATTCTCTTCTGTCACATTCAACACATATGTCAAGAGGACTATGAGGTTCCAAAGAAACAAATACTATAAATATCTGATTATAAAAGTTTATTAGAAACTGATTACAAATAGTTCTTGAGAAGGTTCTAAAATGGAATCCTATAGTCGAACAAGTCGTATGAAATGATACTTGAATGGAAAAAAATGAAATTAGGATATAGAGTTTAAGATTTAGAATAACAGTCCAGAACCCTGTGCAGGCCCATCTGGAGTTGCAAAGTGTACTTTAAGCAGACAAGTCCTTCACCCGCTTACCCAGGCCCATCCAGAGTCAAATAAGAGGGATAGCCATCTGGGTCAGCCCCCCAAGTCCCTGCCCAGGCCCATCCAGAGTCAAATAGGAGGGATAGCCAGCTGGGTCAGCCCCCGCAAGTCCCTGCCCAGGCCCATCTGGAGGCACAAAGGAGAGAGCTCTTCAGTCAGTCAAGTCCTCCAGACCTCTACCCAAACCCTTCCAGAGTTGCACAGGAGTGCACTTTGGCTAGGTGAGAACTCCAGACCCCACCCACACTGACCACATAAACCCAAGCCCAGCCTGGAGTTGCATTCACACACTATCATTGAGTCTACTCAACAGTGCTCAGGCCCAGTCAGGCCAGCATTTGAAAGCTTTTGAGTTAGCACTGAATTGGAAACAACCCAGCTTCTCTAATCAACAGTAAATAGGACCTACAAATTCTATGTGCCTGATCTGAAATCAACCAAATTTGGGCAAACAGCAAAAGCTTCCACTCAACAGAAGGAGGCTAAACTCTAGTATCAGGCACAAAATCAACAAAATAAATCCAAAGGCCCAGATCACAAAACACAAACAGGATGAAAGACCAACACAATATTCCCCCCCCCCCAAAACCCACTAGTCCTATAACAGTATTCTCTAATGAGAATCACCTACATGAATCTCAGGACATGGAATTAAAAAAAAAAAGAATAATTTTAAGCATGATCAAAGAATCCAAAGGATTTAAAGAGGGCAGGAAGAAAACACCTGAATGAACTTACAGAGGAGAAGAATAAACTGAACTCCAATAAAATAAAATAAAATGACAAAGAGAACTGAGGATTTGAAAAGTGAATTCAACAGAGAAGTACTGAAGACAAGCTGAAATGAAGACAGAATTGAAAGTTTCAATAATGTAATTAGAAAACTCAAAGGAAAGTCTTATTAGCAGAATAGATCAAGCAGACGATCAACTATCAAGAACAGAAGATAAAGTAGAGGAACTAGATCACATGAAGAATATGAAAATTTAAAAAGACACATCAAAGGCACATGTGATAACTTTTCATGCTTTGAAAAGACCAAATCTATGAATAATAGACACAGAAGACTCTCAGGTCAACAGCATAGACCAGATCTCAGCAAGATTAAGGAAACTCCCCCAAATCAAGGAGAGACATACCCCTACAGATACAAGAAGCACATCAAACAGACAGAACCAGAAAAGAAACTCTCCACAGCATATCAGTAAAAACATTAACTGTATGGAATAAAAAGAGGGTACTTAGCTGTAAGAGAAACACCACAAAACACACACAAAGGCAAACCCATCAGAATAAAGCCAAGAGCCTGGAACATTTTTTCTAAAGGTTCTAAAAGACCACAAATGTCAAACTAGACTCCTTTACCCAGCGAAGCTATCAGTTATAGTTGAAGGAGAAAGTAAAACTTTCCGTGATGTAAACAACATGAAGATTCAAGGCTATCACACCAGTGCTACAGAGAACACTGGAAGCAATACTTTGGACTGAACAGAAGAAAAGAGCACGCTCAAGAGGCTAGAGAGAGAAAACAGATGCTACTGTAATTACTGGAATACAAAATAGGACTAAGAATACAAGCAGCAAAAAGCAACAAATCAAGTGCCATCAACACTTACATTTCAATAACTTTAAAGATTAATGGCCTCAACTCTCCAACCAAAAGAAACTGGCTGGTCAAATGTATTAAGAAACAAAATCCATCTTTTTGTTGGGGTTACAGGGAGACTCTTTCTCAAAACAACAGCAACCCCACTCCTGCTGAAAAGGGAAAGAAACAGCAACAAAATGAACAGTACAATAAACAAAGCCTGAGATCAGCAGCAAAAGAATCTCTAGAAATTAAACAAAGCCATTGAGTAAACAACACACTACTGAATGGTGAATGGGTCCAAGAAGAAAAGAAAACAAAATTTAAAACTTCCTGGAAATAAACAAAAATGAAAACACAACACACCGAAACCTCTTGGATACATTAAAAACAGTCCTAAGAGTGAATTTTATGGCTCTAAATGCCTATATTAAAAAATTAGAGCACAAATAAACAATTTGATTAATTTCAAGACTTCAGAAAAACAGGAACAAACCAAACCGAAACCTAGTACACTGGAAGAAATAATAAAAATCAGGGCTGAAATGAATGAACTAAGAAAGAAACAACAGCTGAATGTGGAGGCACATGCCTTTAATCCATCAGGAGGCAGAGGCAGGTGGCTCTCTGTGAGATCAGTGCTAGCCTGTTCTGCATACTGAATTCCAGGACAGTTGGAGCTACAAGGAAATCTTGTTTCAAAACAACAGCAGCAACAACAAAAGAAACAATAACACAAAATAACAATATGAAGAATCAATGACTCTAAGAGTTGGTTCTTTAAAAAGATAAGCAAAATTGACAGACACTTAGCTGAATTAACTAAAAGAAGAAAAGACAACATTAAAAATAGGAAAATTGGAGATGAACAGGGAAACATTACATCAGATACCAAAGAAATTCAGGAAATTGTAAGGGAATACTTTAAAAATCTATACTCCATTAAATTGGAAAACCTAAAAAAAATGGATGAATTTCTAGATACACTTGAACCACCAAAGTTAAAACAAGATGAGATCAATAACTTAAACAGACCCATAACAAAAAGACTGAAACTGTAATAAAAAGTCTTCTAGCTGAAAAAAACCCAAGTTCAGATGAACTCACTGCAGAATTCTATCAGACTTTCAAAGAAGAAATATAACCAATATTTTTCAGATTATTCAAAAAAATATAAAGAGGACCTCCAAATGCTTCTATTAAGTCAGTATTACTCTATTTCCAAAGACAGGTAAAGATACAACAAAAAAGAGAACTACAGACCAATATTTTTAATGAACATAAATGCAAGTATTCTCAATAAAATATTTGCCAACAGAATGTCGACATATATCAAAAAGATCATCTATCACAATCAAGTTTACTCTGGGGCTGGAGAAATGGCTCAGCAGTTAAGAGCACTGACTGCTCTTGCAGAGGACCTGGGTTTGATTCCCAGCACCCACATGGCAGCTATGAACTGTCTTTAACTTCAGTTCCAGAAGAATCCAAAGCCCTCTTCTGACCTCTGTGGCATTGCACAACATACATGCACTCACATACATGCAGGCGCACTCACATACATGCACGCAATACATTCATTAAAAAAAAAAAAAAAAGAAAAAGATCACCAGGCATGGTGGTGCACGCCTGTAGTCCCAGCACTTGGGAGGCAGAGGCAGGCAGATCTCTGTGAGTTCAAGGCCTGCATGGTCTACATAGTGAGTTCCAGGCCAGCTGCGGCTTCAGGGAGTCCTTGTCTTAAAAAAAGACCCCCCCCCCCAAAAAAAAAGATCATCTACCACAATCAAGTTTACTTTATCCTGAGGATGCAGGGATGTTTCATCTAAGTTGATAAATGTAATAAATTATGTAAATGAACTTAAAGAGAAAAATCACATGATTATCAATAGACAGAAAAGGCAATTGACAAAATCCACGATGCATTCATAATAAAAGTCTTAAAGGTCTTGAGGGAACATATGTCAACATAATAAAGTCTCTATATAACAAACTCACAGACACCATTATCCTAAATGGAGAAAAACTCAAAGCACTCCCCCTGAAATCAGGAATGAAAGCAGTCTGTCCACTACCTGCACTCCCTTGCTTGAAGCCCTGGCTAGAGCATAAGACAAGAGAAGAAAGTTCAAGGGATACTAATGAGAAAGAAATCAAATTATTCCTATTTGCAGATGATTCCATATTATACGTAAGAGCCCAAAAATTCTACCTGAAAGCTTCAAGAAATGGTCAACACTGTCAGTAAAGTGGCAGGATACAAAATCAACTTTAAAAAAAAAAATCAATGGTCTTTCTACACAGCAATAATAAAAATGCTGAGAAAGTGATCACGGAAACACTCCCATTCTCAACAGCCTAAAACAAAAACAAAAATAAAAAAACCTCTACGAATAAGCCTAACCGAGGAGGTAAAAGACTTCTACAATGAAAAGTTTAAATCTGAAGAAACTGAGGAAGACACTGAACAATGGAAAGACACCCCCATGCTCATAGATTGGTAGTGTTAATATCCTAAAGTGACCATCCTACCCAAATCAATTTGCAGACTCAATGTAATCCCAATCAAAATCTCTATGACAGTATTAAAAGAAACAGAAAACCCATCACGTTTTGTGCTTCATATGGAAGTACAAAAGATCCTGGACAGCCAAAGCAATCCTGAGCAAAAAGAATAGTGCGGGAGGTATGATCATACCACATTTCAAGCTATATTACAGATAAAATGGCA